TGCTGCCCTGTTCGCCTGTGTAATAGCAAACGGGGGGTGGGGGCGGGTATGGGGGTGGTGAATTCGGAGAGGAAAAAAGGATACATGATGTGTTGATATCACACAATGGATGCAACGAGCCTAATTGGCAATATAAAAGTTGACACAGCTTATTCCAGCCTGAATGAGCAGACAGATCAGATGGTAATGGCGTACAGTTTGGGGTGGCAAGTCGTAATGATCTTCTCACGAACGTGTCACTATGTGTGTTTGTGTGTGAATGCAGTTGGTGTGTGGACGGGGGTGGGTAAATCAGTGTCTTACGGTACATCCATCTCAGCCTCTTCACTGAATCCCATTTTCGCGGCAAACCTGCCAATAAATTGTTCACCACACATGCCCTTTAGCACACCGACACACACGTACAGACACAATTGTGTGTGTGTGTGTGTGTGTGTGTGGATTGTTGAAAAGGCAGACAACTTTAACTGCAGCCTGAGTCAACTCACGAGATGACTCCAGACGGACGAGGTTGCAGTAATCGTAGAAAAGAGATTGCGCTGGAGAAAAAACAAAGCATACTTGTCCGGCTTGCAGATGTCGGCCTAAATGGGCAATGCTCATCCGGTCGAGGGAAGCAAGAGAAAGTGGCCATCGACAGACAGAAGAGGAGCCAGGCAACAAAACCCACAATCGACAGAGTGTCGTCTTGAGTCCCGTTTGGTCGGTCTGCTCAAATCTCCTCCATCCCGCTCGTCCGGCCGACGACATTCCGTCTGTTTCGGCGAAAGCGCAGGTCGCCTACTCACCCGACCTACTCGACCGCATACAGACATACAAACACACAAACATACACACACACACACATACCGACACACATACATGTTGGCATGTATCAAGATAAGGCGGGACGGACAGGTGACATTCAGCCGAGTCTCAATGTGTGTTTGTGTGTGTGTGTGTGTGTGTGTGTGTGTTTGTGGGCTAATCTCATCGTCGGGTGTGGGGATGGCAGCAGGGAGAGAGGAGGATGTCGCAACGATTTCGCAGGCTAGTGACAGTGACCTTTGGTTTAGGATAAAAAGGAAATTATATTGTTCTTCAGCTGTTCTGATTACACGGCGTCCGAAGGAGAATCACTTGGCCGGCCCCAAGTGAACAGGAGGACAGACGAGCCCGGGCGACGAGTGTGTAGACACGACAGACCGAACAATATGTTGATGGGTTTTCGTGTGCAGGCGTGTAGACTTGGCCGAAAGCCTCGTCGCGATTGCTGTACATTCCGGCTGGACGAGTTGAGCAAAACTAAATGAAAAACGTCGTCCAGATTAACTAGACAACCGAGGCGACGATGCGACGCCACAGCGCCCAATTAGCCGGTCCGACGAGGACACAAACCGAGTTGCTCAGTTGCAAGCTCGAGGCCGGGCAGAGAAGGTTTTCACTAGAGTCCACCAGTACACACACATACACATACGGGATTTGAAGCCTGGCTGTATACGTCCTGGCGACACTTTACTTATATACATACATACATACATACATA